TGGTAGTACATTCTAGTTCAATTACTCTCCAGACTGGTTAGCCAGGAATATTCAGTGGCTAAAGCCACTTTTGTTACTTCATCACTAAAGAATTGATGATTTAAGGAAATGTAGGATAAATGTATTCAATTTCAGAAACTATCTGAACATCATGGCATCGTACTGACTAGTACAACAAAAATACATGGGTTTTTTTAACATAAGCATTAAAGAGGGGTTGATTGGTCAGAGCCATTAATACATGAAGGGGTCTAGAAATCTTACAAATGCAGTGAGGTGTATTTATGAGGTTGCTAGCATATCTTGCTTTCAACACAGCTGACAGCAAAAATAATATTTTTTTGTCTTTTCTTTTTGGTTGTCTGATTGCTTCTCTTCTCACTAAAACTAATACTTAAAAGAATAAAATAAAAGAGGCACTTAAATATTTCGCAAATGCAAAGTTTAAATGCACCTTTTTCTGTAAGCTCAGGTCTGGGGTTTTTTGATGGGATGATAAATCAAGAAAGAATATAATGGCAAAATTCCCCCCTTTGATCTAAAACTGAAGGCTTGGATTCTGTTCTTGGCTGTACCACAGAAAGACTTGTCTGGTATTAATTAGTGAATTTTCAATTTTATCATACACGAGCACTGGATAATTTCAAATCTTGCTCAGAGACTTTCTTGTATTTTGTGCCGATCACTAACATTATAATACTTGGAAAATTAAACAAAAAAAATTAACTCTGCTTTAGAACTAGCCTAACATGTCATCACTCTGACATGAGGGAAATACCAAAATCTTGAAATTTTTACAGCATTCTGAAAAAAGTTACAGAAGAATTTAATACTACCAAGGAATTACAACATGCAGCAGTACAGCTCTTCAGCAACAAAATAGACAAACATGCATCACCATTCCTGGTCATTGTTTTCCCAGTTCTTGACCAATTACCTCATTTAAAAATGACTGGAGTCAGGAAAGAGCACCTGAACTCTAGGGATATTTTGATCTGAACCTGTAATCTGGGTTGGAACATAATCATAGATTTGAAAATAAAGGAAATGTGAAGAAGTGTAGATCCAGATCCCAGCATTTTGTCTTAGACTCTTCATGGCTCTTTTGCCTGTGGATTTCACTGCTGGACGCTATTGGCTGGGTTTTTTCCCAAGCATATAAGCAGGGACTTCTCTTCCTCTTTACTTGGATATTTAATGGAACTTCTTGATACACAGCTTTGTTAGAAATCATTTTAGGAGAGATTTTTGCCATTTTTCTAGTGAAACAGTATGCTTTTCAGTGATGGTAGTGTCTTCTTTTTTGTATTAATTGTTTATTGCTAAGGCAGTTGCAGTAAGATTTTAAACATAGAATTATATTGCTATCATTAACTTTAATTAACATTAAGAGATAAGAACTTTTCCTGCAAGGTCCAGTTGGAATGACAACTGCTGTGTGTCTGTCTTATTAACGCAACGGAAATGCTGCTGCTGGTTATTTCAGTTTTTTCAAGAGACTTTTTTATTTTCTTTTCTGAACTACAGACACCATAACAATGAATTCAACATTGTCTCAGCTGGTAAAAGATATACAGAGTGCTGACGTATTTGTCTCTTGTAACATGGAAGACTCCACAGTAGACAACTGTGACCTAGTTACAAGATATATTACAGGAAACAAAAGTGAAAATGGAGGAAGGTAATATTACAGGCCACTCTTACCATAAGTGACTCTTTCTGTAAATTGCAAGATTTTTCAACTTATGATGCTAATTTTTTTCATCTAAGACAAAAGAAAGAGATTAATTAGGTAATGTTGATGGAATAGCAAAGAAAATTATTTTTGAAAAGCATTTCAGAATATGCTTTTCCTCTTTTTCTCCTTTCTTTGCTGATGAGCTGGTAGATTCAAATGTAAACTAACCAGCAGGTGGTAGCAGTGTTTAAGATTTCTAGAACTGGTATATAAATCATTCAAGTTACTAACAGAGAGAAAATATTTCAGAGTGCAGACCACACAGTCAATGCCTCTGCAAGTTCATGGCAAGGCTCTTCCATCTTTATTAATGAGATATGGAGATTTAGTTGACATCTTAAAGACATTTCAAAAATTATTTTATGTGCAGGATAATAGTCAGACGAGACTCATAGGTTGTGGGGGGGTTCTATATTTTTTGTTTTTGTGGGGTTTTGTTGTTTTGGTTGTTTTTCTGGTTTGGTTTGGGCTTTTTGGCAGGAGATGAAGTATTAGCCTAGCGCTTCAACTTCACTCATTTCATCGCCATTTCCTCTGCGTCTGTAAAACACAGAAAGGTTTTGACTGTGTTCACATCAGAGGTTGTATTTTTTATTTCATATTGACTCTGATTCCAGTACATTTCAGCTTTATCCTTTTATTTTGTTTGGCTTCTTTTATTACAGTCTTTAAAGTGAGTGGAAAAAATGCACCCCATGCAATCATGTCTTTGCAGTTCCTTTTGCTATCTAGCATAAATAGCATAAATAATTTCAAGTAATATGAGAACTCTGGTTGTTGTAACACACACAGTTTTTATAACAGGAGAGATTTTCTGGATTAGGATAATTTTGGGTCATGATACATGCAGTCTCTAGTAATGCCTGAAAATTTTCAGAAGAATGCCTGAGGAAGGTGCCTGTTAATGAAAATTTTGTGATATCAACACTGTAGCAAGTTACCTGTTCTTGAGTAAGTAACCCTAATTAAGTAGTAAATTTTGATCCATACTAGACAGTCACTAAGAACAGCATGGTTGTGTTAAAATTACTGATGCAAATCATCAGCTGATAAATAGAGGGGAAAAAAGCATATCTCCCCAGACCTGTTTTAAGAGGTTACAATTAATGTGTTCAAGCCATACTTAAGGGCCTTTCAACAACTGCCCACATTCATGTAAATACTAACAATACTAATAACTTTTTATAAGTTATAAACTTATATAGAAAAATATACCAGGCATGGGTGGTATATGAGGTCTTTTGTATTTAAGGCATATTTATTGCTCTTCTCTATAACAGGCAACCCAAAATGTCACAAAATGAGAAGGGAAAGCATGACTAATAAGATATAATTATGACAGAAATGGAAAACAACCTATACTGTAAAATAGTTTCAGTAACCTATTTTGTACTCCATACTCCCTTTGATTTTAGAGGGGAGAAAATAAAATAGAGAGTTAAGCAGTAAGAAAGAAGAAAACATGTATCTGAGTTGCAAGTTTGAGAATTATTTAATCATATTATTATTTAATCATAACATATGATAATGTTATTATCTAAATACAGACATGGTAGACTACTGAAATAGGTCAGCAGGCAAAAGGGCCTTGAAACAATTACAGAATAAGAGAATCACAGAATATACTTCATTGGAAGGACCCTTAAGGATCACAGAGGTCATCTCTCAGCCTTGCACAGGACCATCCCGAAGAATCACAGCATGCACCTTGAACTCTGTCAGACTGTGCTGTGATCACTTCCCTGGGGAGCCTGTTCCAGTGCCCAGTAGTTTTTCTGAGTAAAAAACATTTTCTAATATCCAACCTAAACCTCCCCTGACACAACTTCAGGCCATTCCCTCAGGTCCTGTCACTGGGTGCCAGGGAGAAGAGATCAGTGCCTGTCCCTCCTCCTCACAAGGAAGTTGTAACTGGAATGGGATCTCCCCTCTGTCTCCTCTTCTCCAGGCTGAACAGACCAAGTGACCTCAGCTACTTCTCATATGGCTTCCCCTCAAGGTCCTTCACCTTTTTCGTGGCCCTCTTTTGGATGATGATTGATAACTTAATGGGTTTTTTTAATATTGTGGCACCAAAATGGCCCCCAGCACTGGAGGTGAGTCCGCTCCTACAGTGCAGAGCAGAGCAGGACAATCCCCTCCCTTGCATGGCTGGTGATGCTGTGCCTGATGCACTCTGGGCCATGGCTGTCCCACCAGGATTTGGCTGAGGTCATTTGATCTGTGGTGATGTACCTAGTGATCTCTTTTTTCAGTCACTGAGTTCTATCTGTATGGCATATTCACTTGTACAGATAGACGCTGCTTCAACAACATTGATACAGCTGCCCTACACAGGAATGGCATGTAGAATAGTTCATTACAAACTATCTGCAGTTATTCAGGCATTAAAATAAATCCACCATATGGTTTTAGAGATATACCTTAAATATTCCAGAACAGAATGCACATATAATGTACATTTAGTGTCGTACCTGTTAGAAAGCTTTGCTGGTACAGCGGCATATTACAATTCCCTTCCACGAAAGTGTGGCTTCTCTCAGTGCAGTGACATGCTACAAGAGATCTTGTGTCCTTGGTACTTCAGAGGTAGTTGCAATGTATAAACCTGATACAGCTAAGAGCTGTTCCTCTTGGCAGGGTTAACCACATTTTTGGGAATCCAACTTCCTCTCTACTGTTTACTGCTGGTAATGTATGTAAAATATTTTATTTGTTCAGGTTGCGTTCTTTTCTATTTCTCTTCAATAAATGCCTTGTAATCAATTTATTTTTATTCAAGAAATTGCCTAGATGTATGTTGCCAATAATGTTTTCTTTTTCTTGAGTGCATTTAGTTATGAGTGGTGCTACTAAAACTTCTTTTACTGTCTTGTATACATGAACAGTATAAAAACCAGAAAAATTCAGTTGTTTAAAAAGAGAAAACCAAAACCTAATAGTTAGGGTAGATTTTAGTTAAATATTTGTTTTCATATACAAGTAGGCTGTCCTTAAACTTGCAAATGTAGGCAGTTGCTGAACTAAGTAATTCATAAATTACCCTATGTTACCTGTGCTAACTTGTTAAGAATTCAGTGGCAAGAAGACAAGAAAACATTTGCTGGTTTTTCCTCTAAGTGGATGCAATTCAGTTTGCCTAGAGTCATAGGGTTGCATCAGTAGACCATGCTGATGTATTTCATTTTTAAGTTTCTTAATATAGTCCTCAAGTGGGCTTTTTCACATTTATTTCTTGAAATGTTTAGTCATTTGATGCTTTCTGGTTTTCAGGTTGCAAATTTCTGGAATAAGAAGTAGGCTTTGACTTATCATTAGTCTTTCATTTCCATTTATTTTTGCTAGAATTCTTTTATAATTTATGGATGTCTTTCATATCAATACTTGCTTCATGAAACTCTTTAACTTGCTGGTATTATCTGATATTACCTATTTAACAAGTAACGTTAATTACAATTACACTATTAATTACACTATTAATAAATAATTTTCACATTGACTTTGCAGAAAGAATTATACAAATTACTAGAAGTCTTCAATGCTTGACCATGATGGTTTTTATCTGTTTCAGTTGTGCCTCATATGTACTCATAAATATGGTGCACCAGCAGCTGGTAAGCAATTCTGAGCACTCTGGTTTTCATCTTGTGTAACAGTCTTGTACTTTAGGTATTGTTGAAAAAACTTCTTCCCAGAGGACAGACATTTGCAACAGCTGTCTTAAGTGTTTGGCTAATTCACTATGTTTCTATACTTCTGTGAAAATACTTAATCCCCCTCTACATTTTTTTACCTATCAGCAGCCCCCACTGCGAGTGCTCCTCTCAGCAGCATGTTCTGCAGTGACTAAGCGAAGTTAGCAAGGCCATACTGACATTCCCTCTCAAGCACAATAACACCATCTTGTTTGAAGTTTTCTCTTACATTCCTGCCATAGCTTCTTCTTCCTGAAAGGCTGAGTGCATTTCTATGCAGTAAGCATTCCAGGTATCGCCAAACCATTTAGTCCCTATGATAGCTGTCTTACTAAGGTAAAAGTTAGGACTCGACATTTTGAATATTGAAAAAGATTTTAACCATTTTCGTGTATGTAAGAGATGATTGCCATCCTGGGCGAATGGGATATCTAGATGCTAAGAGTCAAGGAAGATAATATGACCTGTTTATTGTATAGGAAAGGAATCCAAGAACATTCAGTAACATGAAAAAATTGCAGTGTTTGTCCAATTGACCTGACTTCTCAGCAGGCACTGATTACCCAAAGAAAAACAAGAATAATCAAGTGCCTTGCTTCTGTGATGTAACACCTGGATTTGTTTAAGGAAGGGATGTCATGTTTACAGACAGCCTAAGGAAGCCTATCAGATGCTGCAGGTGGTACAACCAGTCTGTGTATGTCATTTGGTGTTTTTAGGATTGATTTGTGGATGAATCAGCCTTAAAAAACTATTTCATAGATTTCATAACTCAGGGCAGTACAAATTACTGAGTAAAACTGAAGCAGTTGAAACACTTTCAAAATGAATCTCACAACTTGCTTATTTACTTTTCAGAGTATAAAACTGAGAACTCTGGACAAGGATCAATCTCTCCAGTAACCACCCCCACTGTCCCTCAAGCTCTGTGCTATCATGACCTGTTACTTCACTTCCTTTTACTGGTATCACCATCTAAATATGATTTACATGTGTAAACTGGCAAAATCTTTTTCAGTAATTTAACTCTGTCATTCTGGATAACCTCTCTATTTTCTTGGTTAGATTACTTGCAGTGACTGTAACATGAAGTACAAATCAGCATTAATCAGTAAACTTGCCTTGTTTTTCCATACATCTGCTGCTGCTCATTGCTGACATTTGGAAATGCACAGATTTTCTCTATTGAAGAAGGTAATTGATAATTCCAAAGCAATGGGAAATATCAATAAAGAAAATTTCACAGACTAGAAACAATAATTGAGGAATACATACTATGTTTTGGCTTAGCAATACTTTGGTTGATTCCCTGATTTTTTGAATTTGTTTTTGATGCTTGGGTTTTTTTCCCCTGTCAGAGCTTATGTCTAGGGAATGTCTACATACTTGTTGCAAAACAGTGGTATGGGAGGATTTCTGGGCCAAGATTTTCATTAGAATAAAAATTAGGAAGAATTATTTTAAATTATCTGTGGATGTAGATGACAAACTGTTTCAGTATACTGATTGAAAAATGTGTTTTATTTAATTAGTTTAAGGCTATGAAAATTCTGCAGGCATGTTCACAAGTGTTTCTTTCTATTCTTTAGTTTTGGGTGGAGGGCTGGGGGATTTAATTTTATTCTACATTACTGTTTCCAGTATGTTTTTGTTTCCAACAGTAAATCAATTCCTGTAGCATATGATCTTCCCCAGTGTGGTTAAGCTTCAAGTCAGACTAGAACAGGAAACCACTCTTAATCTTACTTGATAGTAATGATCTGTTCAGCAGAAAGGTCAAATGCCTACCAGATATATCATAGCTTTTCCCCCTTCCAGTGAGACACTGCTAATAACTCAATTAAGGGACTTTGCAGATTGTCAAAACTTCCTGAAGTCTTGATTTGACTCCTGTTCAGAAGATCCCATGGAATGGGATAATTTCTGTCATCTTGTCCATGACATTATTTTTCATCTGCCTTGGCTGATGTTACACATACACAAATAAACACAGCATATAAATATGTATTTATGCACATAAACATATGTGCACATATACACATATGGGTATCTATATACACACAAATTTATGCAAATAAATATATCTCTATCTAATCACATGAAACTCTTCTACTTGTAAGAAATGATGAGTTTACAAGGGTGATAGACTCATAGAACTAAGTAGCATCTTTCAGACCTTGATTTGAAATTTATAACTTTATTTTCAGATACTGTTCTCCAGCATGCTTATTCTCTCTTTAATTTTGGTTTATGTCTAATAAACATATATGGGGTTTTCCCCAATTTTTCCCCCTCATAATCTGAGTAATGGTGGAGTAAAGTTTTAAAAACCATATGCGAAACTATGCTCAAGGCAGCTGTGTTGACAGTGTGCTAGTAATGACAACTGGCATTACCCAGTACTGTTTTCTTCTGGCTCATGCTTCTGTATTTGTGTGTAATGTCATGTGAACTTTATCAAGAGCTTTTCTGGACAAACCCAATACATGTGCTTTCTTTTGCTCAGGGGACAATTGGGCTGTTTGAGGAAGAAAGGAGATTGCCTCGGCATGGTTTTTGATGGTTTGCAATGGTTTTTGATTGAGTTTGCAATTTGGCTTGTTCTTGTCTTGTTTTATTTGAAAGGTGGACATTTATTTACTTGCTTTTCCCTTTGGCCTCATGGTCATTAAACTCAGGGCTGTGTACGTATCATCTCCAGAGGTCATCTGATTCAAGCCTCTAATTCACCCAGTATAGGAAGGACCCCTCAACAGCTCATCAAGGTACTCCCTAATTCAGTGAGACCACAGTCAATTGCTGTGGTATCCTGACAGCTTTTTAGGATCTCTGAGGAGGGAGACTCCACAACGTCCCCAAGAAACCTATTCCCTTTGCAATTGTTAAGCCTGTTGAGGGAAATATTGGCAAAAATAAAGTGAATGAGAATGATCGCATTGTTCACCAGAACAATACCAAAAGCTGTATGAGATACCAATTCTACCTGTCTCCTTTTTAGTCCTCTTTTTTCTTTCCAGGTTTAGCTTGCAACTGGAGTTTTTATGGATATGAAAAGCTGAGCTAAAATAATGAAGCTGAGTTAACTTTAGGTCATAATTCTAGCTGGAAGAAAGTATGTTAGGATCGTATTTAGAATCCCCAAATTCGTGCTGCGGTTGCTGCCAGCAGCTCCAGTGTTTTATCTATCTGCTGCCAAGCACTCCATCTGTGGTTAGTGGAGTACATGAAGGGCAACACCTTTTCCTCCTTTTTATGTAGAAAATAAAGTTTATCATATGTCCTCAGGAATGGTGTTCTGATCATCAAGCCATAGGATGTTTCTAACCAGGGTGTTTTGTCTCTAATTCTATTTTCATTAGATCATTTTGGGTATCCAGTCTTGAATAAATGCCCTGAACAACAACTACTCTGAAGTTGTTACTCAGCTATTTTTTATAATGAATATCTGATAAAATATTTGGTATCATCGAACTAACTGCAGGAATGTTATAATCTCCTATGATGCACAAATGAAATTCCTTATGAGGAAAGGCATCCCAAGTTGTTCTTTCTCCTTTGTCTCTGCTGGAGGGGTCAGATTAGCAGTTAGGGGTCCCTGACTCCAGTGAAAATCTTCAGCTGAAGATCACGTGTTTTGTGCTGTGAGAAGGAAAAACTGGATTTAGTAGAGATGCTAGTAGAAAATAAAAACAACCTGCCCTCTGAAGTTTATTGCTGTGGCATTTAAACCTTACTCCCTCAAAAATAACATGAAAATAAACTAATTTTGGAATTAAATTTGAAAAGAAAGTGTTATAAAAACTGATTTCCTTGAAAAAAATATATTAATTGTCCTAGCATTTTGCTCACTGAAGTCTACTTAGGCAGTTTAAGTGTATGAAATACGCATACATACATACAAGCAGAGCATAATTTAGGATTCTGTCATCTGTGCCTAAATGTCTAGACCAGGTATCCTGTTCAGTTCAGCAGCAGGCCAGCTATTACAGTACACCAATTACTCTATAACCACTTGCAGCTTGGATAGATTTCAAAAATACTAACGGTATTTGCTTTTCTAGTCTGGAAAGTGACCCATTAGCTCTTCACCTACTGTATGCAGACAACAAACAAGACCATTTCATCTATAAACTTAAAGACCTTTGGTTGCTTCAGTAAGCTGATTTATTTAAACATAAAATCATAAGAGTTGGACTTGTTACAAGTAGTAATGGCCTTTTATTTCAGTCGAAAGTATCTTTGCCTGGGTATAGTGCATGATTAACAATTGGGATTGTTAACATTTGTCCCCAGTTCTTGAAATTATTTGTTGCATTATTCTAGGTAAATCACCTTCTCATCTTTCAAAACACATGCCACAACTTTTAACTACTTTTCAGAATATAATAGTGATACTTGTAAAACTATTTTATATCATTGAACAAGCAGTAGTAGAAGTAATGAAAACTTCTTCTAGATATGAAAAGGTTCAGATACAAATCGAAACATAACTGTATTGAAACGTGTCCTTTATAAATAATACTGTACATTTTCTTAAATCTGGTACTATAATAAAAAAACCAATTAATTACTTTACTTGGAGTAGACAGCCATAATGACTTCTTCCCTTTGTCTTTGGCATGGAATTTTGTGTCAGTGGAAATTCCTCATGTAGTTCCAAGATTAAGGAGTGAAAGTTGCCTTTAAAAAAATATTACCTGGAAAATGTTCGTATTATTTCACGTGCTGGGTACCCAACCCTGATTTTCATTAGCTCTGGACTTGTTGCCTTTTATTGAACTTATAGGAGTTCAATATCATGGCAGTTGCAAAAATTAGGAAACACAGAGCATTGTTTATGTATCAGTTCTGTCAGGAAGCGTCAGGTGAATGTTACTCCTTTAATTGGATGATTTGAAATACAGGAATACAGCACAGTATCTTGTTTTTTCTATGATATTGGCTCTCACATATATAGTGTTACAGACACATTCTATTCAGCTTATATTAAAGACTACATGGATGTAAGATGGACTAAATGGATAAATGTTAAGAAAAAAAATAATAGATAAAATTGTAATAGCATCATTAAGTAACTTCAGAGTGTAAAACACAAACGTAATGTCAACATCCATTTTTAAAAATCTCTTTATAGATAAATATAGTCAAATATGCTAAAACTCTGAGAATAATTGTCCCTATAAAGTTGCTTTCTTGCTTTCAGAAATAAGGCTTTCCAAAGGTAATAAATTACAAGTTCTTGTCTTTGAATTACCTGGAAGGGAATTCTGTGGTATCAGTCTTGAAAGTGATGAGATAAAAATACTTCGTTTCTTATGCGGCCCTAGAGGCCACACACTGCTTGCTCTGCACTGCCTGAGAAGTTTATTTTACTGGAATATAACAGTCTAAATGAGGGCAAGACAACTGCAGTGTGACCCTTCAGCCTCATTGGAGTGTCCACTACTGAGGTAGCAGGCCCATTTGATTACAAGTGTTGCAAAGCTGAAGGCTTAAACATACAGTCTTTTTGAGATATGAGGCTGGGACAACACTCTTGATTAAAATAACACAATATATAGAAGGAGTAATTTGTTTTATTTTACCTGACCCAGGACAGAAATGGGATCTTCATATTAATACAGAAGTGATGCACTTTTGATCTTAAACTCCCTGCAGAGTCCCAGCATCCTTCAGTCTTCTGCTTTTCAGGTGACATCAACACTTCAGAAGTTCCTGTGGCTCTGTGTCTTCCCCCAGATGTGTGCAGAAAGCACAGCTGGTCAAATCTGGTGTGTTGACAAAACCCAGAAACTACCATTCAGAATTATTTTCATTTTTTTTCTATCACTATAAATTTTGCTTTTAGCCAGGAAGAAGGTCTGGCAGAACTAGAGAACAGAAGTAGATGATTAATTAGAGTGGTCCCACCAGAAAATCTTGGCAAAACACAATTAAGTTACAGGGAATGATCAACTTCTTATGTGATTAATTTTAAAACTTCAAAATTGGCCTATGCAGGAGATGTTATCACAATTTCTGGATCTGGTAAAAGATGAAGTTATTTATATAGGGAAAGCTAAATAAATATTAAGAAAACTGGAAAAAGGGAGCCAAAGCAATTATTTCTTATATTTTCTTTATAGGAGATAGTAATTGTAATTCTAAAGCTGTCAGAAGTATTTCTATGAAAAAGCCCTTTGTTGAGAAAAAAAATTAGCCTCTGATCTATGTAACATGGTTCCTCTTCTGCCTTACCTGTAAATTTCAGCAGAGATTTAAAAGATTCAACTTTCAATAACAAAATCATTACCATATAATTAGCTTAGAATATTAATTGAAATGCTGAACAAATTAATTTCCTTTAAAATAATGAATTAGGAATATTTGAGAAGTGAAGATATTGTAATGTCAGGTTCTGTATTAACAAATTATTTGTTAATTAAGATGTCAGAAATGCTTAATTTGTATTGAACTACCCTATTACTTCCCTGTGACATTTAATGATATTAAATGTATTTAATACATTTAATACTGTGTATTTAATGATAAATACAACTCTATTTAATTTTCTAATTAATCATAAATGGATTCTTTAATCTGTTTTGCTGTAATTAAATATGGAAATGTAAGAGCTAATCTATTCTAATAATGGCATCCCATAACAAAGCTAAATTCATTTGAGCTATTGTGTCATTTCAAAGTGACCATACTAATGCTCTACTTGTAACAGTGTCAAAGTAGCTGTGAATTTAGGATTAAAGAAAATCTCAGTGCAAAAGGGACAAACTTCAATGATTTCAAATTAATTATTCCTGTGTATCTTTGGCAAGTTTCTCGTACCCTTTGCTCATTAGGAAATACATGTTAAATCCCTGTAATACCTTTGTTGCTTCTTTCCTTGTTTTCGCTAAAAGCTCTTTGGCATGGTATATTGAATTACAACACTAAAAGTATTTAGGTATTTAACATGCTTTATTGAAATGCTTTGACAAATTTAAAAGCTCGATCCATTGGATAGATACGAAAAATATCATTGCACTGTGTTCTTCAGTGGTACAAAGTCTCTGATGCTCCTAACTCCTATCAGAATGTCTGAATTTTTGTCCTGACTCTGAGTCTTGTAATGCCTTTACAATAGATACAAAAATACCTGTCTATTAATTATAGGAGAATTCAGATAAATAGATAGTGATATCTCTGAAATGGTAGTCTCTTTGACAGTTGTATTTCCATATTGTTTCTATTTGATACTTTTTGATTTTTGTTAGCATATGGTTCTTTATCTGTTGGTATTTAAATATAATTAAGACACTAGATAGTCTTCTAGGCTAGAAGAATTCTAGAGTTAGATTAATTCTAGAGACTCTAGCTTCTAAAGCTCATTGAATGTGAAAATATATAGGAATGATCTTCATTCATTACTTTGTGCCACAAAAATATCAAAGGAAACTAAAATACTACCTAAAAGCCTTTATTTTGGAAGATAATCAAAGAAGTCTTTCACAAATACTTGTTTCAGTCAAAGGAACACAAGTATTAGTTAAAAAAAAAAGATTTTGGCCCAAGAGTTATGCTTGCAAGATATCTTTCTGATCATGTGGACTTCTTGTGGTGTCACAGAGAGATTTATATTAGGGACAGGCTGCATCAAGCTCAGTCCATCAAGCTCAGTCCTGTTCATGAGCTTGCTGTGTTGGACCCATGCAGAATCCCACTGATACCATGAGAGCTCAGGGAGGCACAAAACCAACTATCCAGCAAAGATTTATTTGCAAGGATCAGAGTCTTAGATGGAGAACGTGTGAATTCTGTTGTATGGCTCATTAATTTTTCACAGCTTTGGGGGAAACACAATAACAAAACTATTAGCTACACAGCTGATAGATCACAGCTCCCAGAAAAGGAGAGAGCCAGCAGGCCAGGTGTGCTGGTTTGACATTTAGGAAAATAAGTGGGAAACACCCACAGAAGTGATTTCTCTGGGAGAAGCTGCTGAGAGCTTCTTCTGTGCCTCTGATAGGCCAATAGCTGTCCAGTTCTGAGAGCTGACAATATTCTGCACCACTAAAAATTAAATCCACCTCTGTGAATGCCACCTTTTAAAACCCAAGCCCAGGAACTTCTTTTTTTTTGTGTGTCTGGCCTTGAAAGGTAGCAGAGCTTGGCTGAGGGTGGCCCTGCTCCCCCGTGGCCTGTGTGGCCTGTGCGGCCTGGGCTCGGATCTCAGCGGCTCCCGGGCAGGGGATGGAGACTGCGGGGCCTCCCTCAGGCTGGGCCGGGCTCTGCTGTGGCCCCTCCCGGGAAACCCTCCGGGTCCCATCCCAGCGGGGGGACCAAAGCCCTTCCCAGGGGGGGCCCCCAGCCCTAGGCTGGGCCAGGCCACCGCTGCTGACCTCTCAACATCTCTCCAACACCCAAACCCCAGCGCTGCCACCCAGGAGGCACCAGTGCAGGCTGTAATCCAACACCGTGACTCCCTGCCACAGCCTGGGCAAGATTTAAGACTTCCACTACACAGATGAGACCTGCAGACCTCGATCCTCTCTCCAGGGAGAGCAAAAGAGTGATGACACGTAGAAAGACAACATGGAAAAACCAAGGTCAGTAAAAGAAAGAGTCAAGCCTCAGATGAAAGAAGGATGAGGAGATGCTGAATGGGGCTGAAATATTCTTTTGGCAGGGCCATGGAAATGGACAATGAATCCCCATTAATTCATGAAAGAGTATTGGGAGAATGATGTATTCAAACTGTAGATTTGAGCAAAGGCATCCATTGGTGAAGCCAAGCAGATGTTGGAGTAGCTGTGATCCCATGAGATGCTTGAACAGAGAGAGAGATGAGAGCTGATGAAGACCCTTTGCCGCCAGAGAGAGAAGAAAACCTCTGTTCTCAGAGATGATCACAGAGACAGATGGAGAGAACCTTTTCCTTTGAATAACTCATCCTTAAAATAATACCCCATGAGTTCATGGCCCATGAACACAGATGTAGGAGGGCTGTGAAAATGGGAGGAGGGCACAAGGGCAGAATTTATGCCTGGGCAGCTGCTATTCATAAAAAAGAAAAGCCAGGAGACAATTCTTTCTTGTGGAGAAGTCTCCATGGCATAACAAGAGAAAACTCATCTCCCTACACAGACTGATAAAAAGACTATGGTATAGTTGGTACTGTTTCAAAAGCCCAAATTTTATGTTATCAGTTAGGAAGGAAAAGTTGGGCAGGGGGAGGAAAGGTTTCTGGAGATTTTAGTCTGGTTTCTTATTCTTGTAGTTCTGTTAATAAAGTTTCTTTATTCCTTTTAAGTTTTAAGCCAGTTTTTCCCTTCTCCTAATCCATATCTCACAGCAAAAAATGGGTAAGTGGCCTGGTAATTTTAGCTAGCGCTAAACCCCACCACACCAGGGTACTGAAATAATGCACCAAGGGGCTCCCACCACCAGGAGTACCAGGAGACTTCGTATTGCGTGGAATATATTATAATATATATTATATATAATAATTATATAATATTATTATAATATATTATATATTATTATAATATATATATAATATAATATTATTATATAATAATTATATATATATATATATATATATACATATATAAAATGCCTTCTGGTGGGAAGGCATCCGGCTGCACTTGCCAGCAGACATCAGTTCAGAAGTTTACTTTGCTACAGTACAAGGCTGTAGGATTTTACAGAATAATTTGTAGGAATTCTAACCGTTTCTTTTGCCAGTACCTATCTATGTTGGGAAGTACCTTTAGACTGTTGAACATATATCCACAAATTTAAGTGGATCTGAGACTTTAACAAGATATGACCTTGAGAGCAGGTCAGTTTTTCCTCTGACTGTGTAATTTTTGAATTGGCAAGTGCAGCATGGATCCTGCACTTTTCAATTATTGGACTCATTTAAAATGCTTCACGGTTTAGTTGCTTCTCATTACACTGTCAAAATAAGGGCAAAGGTAACCAGGTCTATGAAAATTATATACACTTTTCTTCTATGCCCGGGAAAATTGTTACTTCCCTCAGGAAAGAACAGAGGAAAAGAGGAAAGAACAGCTAATCTTATTTTTCCTAGCAGTAGCACACCTGGAAAGCTCTGACCCTACAGTGCAAGCTCTGCTAGGCAGGGCAAGACTTCCAGAACTATGGCAGAGAGAGCTATGGGTAAAATAGTTGTTCAGGAAGGAGATTAAATAAATGGGATCATCTTTAATAGGCTCACTCAGTAGGGCAGAAAACTGTGAATGAATACTCCTATGACAAAGCAAACAAACTCGAAACTAACAATAGGTTAATGTGACACAGGGCGAAGGCAAGTGGGAATTAAGTTAATATTTGGGCTGCTTGCCTTTCTGGAGCTTAGTTTAATGGAGGTAATTTAATAAACTTTGTCTTCAGCTCTTTAAATATTAAACATAATACGAAGAAATGGATTTCTTTAAGCTTAGAGTTTATATGAAATATGGTTACTATGCAAGACTTAGTAAAATGTGCATTTATGCTAGCTTGCCCAAACCTAGAGCTGGTGTAAAGGGTGAATTTATTTCATAGTAGCATGATTTTTTTTCTATGCTAAGCAAAACTGAAAAATTAAACTTTCGGAATGCTGATCCCAGAAGTAGTGTCAGGAGCTTTCAGCTCATTGAAGGAGCATACATTTTGTAATTGACTTCCTATTTAAATAAAAGAGAGTAAATCCTTTTGTTCAGCTTGTTTAACAGCCTTTCTTCCTTTATAGAAATTTAATGAAGGATTATTGCTCAATTCTGCAGGTGCTTGGCAGATAATGCCTCCCAGATAAGGCCTGTGATAAGGCCTGATAGAAAGGAAGGGTGCACTGCAGTGCAGAAGAGGAACTCTTCAATGGATTTAAGACTCAGAATTAAGTATAATAGCTTGTATTACTTACAGGGAAAGGTGTAGCTAAGAAGATGTTGAACTGATTAATTCAACAAAAAAAGATATTCTGATGGACAACATGTTTTATATCAGTGTTATTGACAAAGAAGAATGTTGAACATTAAACTACATTCTGATTTTAAGCCTAAACTTTTCAAAGAACGACTGATTAGGTGTAAAATATTGACTAGTTACACATTAAATTATCTCTTGCTGAATAGCTATGTTACGTTTGATGCCATTACTTTTGACAAGCAGTAGAAACTCTTGAGTGTGAATTAGGTTCATTGACAGAATGTGTTCAGAAACTGCTGTCCCTAAACCAGTAATTTTAACACATCCAACATCTGTATTACATTATATTTAATTCATACAGAATAATTCCAGTCATTTACAGTAAGAATTGAAAGCAATTTAAAACATATGTCTCATAACTGTCTGCTATAATCTATGTAGATTCTTTGCTACAGCACAGATGCTTATGTTCAGGATGCTAAAGAATGGTTTAAAGCATGTTTTTTTATTTAATGAAAATCATAGAATGTTTCTGTCAGTTCTTTCCTTCTGTGCATCACATAGGACTGACTTGTCTTGGGATAAGCTACCACAGTGACATATCTATATCTGAGCTGGACAAATAAACTCAGTTCACCTTCAGATATTTACCATGTGTTCTTTCTAGTATATATAACATGCTGTCTTTAGCTGTTATAATTTTTAATCTATAAAGCTCATTAAAAATTCTTATTTAATTGTGAGAAGTAGGATTTTCCCATGTTTGTAGTACAAGCTAGTATTTCTGTGACTGTGATTCTTTCTTTTTCTAGGAAAAAGGACTCTGATGAATGACATTGGATATAGGTTAATTGAAAAAGTTGAAGGAAGAGACATAAAGCATGGGATACAATGATAGTTATACACTTTCTGGGTACTAGCTAAATTGTTCTAATCCTCTTAAGTGGGTAATGGAAAACCTGATCTCAGCACTCTAGTCTCTAGGAGAACAAAACACAATTATGTTCTTTGTACTGGAAGTGTGGGAAAAAGTGCCAAATTATTAAAAAGAGCAATTCAGGTTCTTAGGACTTGAGGGAGCATGTGTGTGTGCATATATGTACATATATAGGTATGTGTACGTTTCACATATTTTTATACATATATATGTAAATAAATACAAAGCAGAGGCCCACCCCCTTCTGAGGTGTTTTGACTATTAGTTGCATCACATAGGGATCCTCCAACTGCATAACCATGGGACTTAATTTTGTTTCCACAATGGGAATAATGGTTAATAAGGCTCATCTGCAACAGTTTTAGAGGTACAAAAGAACAAATGATGTGATAAACTTCATCCTGTGTTAATAAGGAAGTCTGCTTCTTCTCCTAAGCTACAATAGGACATCTACTCTGATACCTCCAGACCTTCTCTTTCAATGTTTATTCTTGCTTACTTTTGCAAAGTGGTTTACTTAAATTTGAGGTAAACAAAATAGTGGCACAGCACTCATAATATTTATATGTGGTATTTACTTTCAACATAGCTTAATGTTCCAGTGTGTTAGAAAATCTTCAGTAAACCGAACTAAACTTTGGGAAATAGCATTTTCTTCAGAAAATCACAGACAGTGTATACATGGAGCAATCCTTGTCCCACTGATTGAACCTCATGGGTAAAATTCTGGCACCACTTGAATCAGTGGAGATTTACCTGTTCTATCCACTGAGACAGGATACCCTCTTCTGTTTTTCACAGAAGTGAAATGTTTCACATCTAGTAAAATGAAAAGAAAGGAAATGTTATCTCCATGAGTTTTGCAATGTCAGTGTCAGAAAAGACAGATTTTTTTCTGTCACTTTTAGTTGCAGATAAGATGCTTAGATGCTAGTGACAATCAATAAGTTAATTGGTAACTAAATTTATAATTAGTCATGTTCCTAAAACAAGCACAACCAAACCTTTCATTAAAGTAGGAAGAGGATAGGAGTCACAGACATTTCATGTGAGAAAGCCACATACAAATTAATGATTATCCTCCTGACCTTCCAGAAACATCTTTCAAACATCTATGAGAAACCTACCAGGAAACAGAGAATCTGTCAGTAGTCCCTAAGGTAGTTAAGCATTGGTTGCTAAAGTAAAGAACTCTTTGTTGCCTGAATATTTCCTTTGATTTAACTTGGAAAGGTTGCTGGAAAAGTGTTTGAGTTGGCCTTTTCCCATCCAGTGATTTCTGTGTAATCCACATCTAAGTAAATATGTAATCACAACAGCATAGAATTATGTTAAAATTTAACTCTAGAATAGTAAAGTATTTGGAGACTTTCATAGCCTTGTCTTTTTACAGTTGAGAGTTATTTGAGGGTGAAAAGAAGAGGAACAATCCATTCTCATTCTCAGAACCCTCCAAAATATTGCCTAGATGATCTGATTCTCATAAAACAAGTACAAATATAGGAACACGACACTGAATGACATGTGAGAGAAACAACTATGAGGAATACAGTAAAAGAAAATTTCAAAGGAAATGCACATTGGAATTCCTTTAATTTGTGGAGTGCATCTGTACCAGTGAATACAGAAAATTTTATTGTCCATGAAATTCTGACATTTCACACGTATTTTACTAAGAATCAAATCAGCATGTTATGAAGCAACCTACACATTCCAAAACACATTTCAGTTTTGGTGATAATTTATTACCTTCTACATAGAATAAAACTTTGCATCAACCTCAACAGTTTTCTTCCACTGCCAGCCAGATTATTTATGAAGTTCTAGAGAAATATTATTATAAATTTGCTTTCGGCAACACTTACAGTGTGAGTGATATGCAGTATGACACCAGATTGAATTCCTGTTACTCAGTTTAAAAGACACCTAGATGGCAATCCTCTCAGATGCCTCTCCCTCTCTCTCTCTCCTCTTCCTCTTTCTTGTCTCTCTCTTGCTTTATATCAAATCTTGCAATGAATTTCTAAGGAATAAGAAGCTGATAATGAATGTACAGAGATTTGAATAATCAGCCAGTTCCAAGAAAAACATTGGAGCAAGTAATCATTGTACTGCAGTGTTTTCTGAGTTTTTCTTTCCAATTTCTAAGAAAATATTTTACTCTAATGTACTATGGATACTATGTAAGTCTATATGAATTTGTCCTTTGAACATGTATTTTCAGAAACATGGTGTTATTTCACAGATACATACATGCATTTATACAAAAGACCAGGGATTACATAAAGATTGGGCCATTTTATATTTCTATTTAATACTTTTTACTGAAAATTATTTCCAGTCTTCATTTTTCATCTTTATTTTCCAGTGACAAAGATGTTACGGCTTGAAGAAATGACCAATGTGAGCAATTTGTGGAAGAATAATACAGAAGTATAAAAAGACAATAACAGGGAATGTGAGCAGAATTGAATTCTGAGACTTGACATAACATTTCTATCTCTATTTTGGAATACTAACAAAATTTCTTATCTATATATTTTGCTTCACAAAGGCAAAAGTATTTCTGAATCTACTCCATTTACTGCTGTGAGAGGTTCCTTTTGCTATTGACTCCGATGAGCTTGAGATCAAGATGAACAGTACTTCAAAACATTGTAAATTGAAAAACAATCTGATTCTTTGTTGTTTGTTTGTTTATTCATCTCTTTGAATGGCTAATAAGGGTCTTTCTTTAGACAATATATAGAGGTTTGAGTGTATCTTATTTTTGCAATTTTCAGCTTGCAATATTCAGGTAAAGTTTTCTGCACTCTCTTTGTCTAGAAATGTGTGACTGACACTGATACAGCAGCCCACACATATCTGTAGTTAACTGAGAAGGTGGCAGCCTGTTGAGACAGAAGATTTCTTATAAAGAAACTATGTAAAAGTCTTAATCCTTCTTCCTGTAGAGGTCGGTTGGAGTTTTGCATTTGATTTTGTGGAAACCAAATTGGTCCCCAGTTGAATAGAAAACAATCACTCACTGTATAGTGAGAATTTATATCCTGCAAAAAAGTATACATTATTAAAAGGGACTGACATAGGGGTCACTGAGCAATTTTAGTAGCCTACAGATCATTACATTTATTACTCATTTTTTTTTTTTTCCTTTTATGCAAGAAAAACTCACAGTGACTTCAGTAAGAGTTTTTCTGACTTAAGGAGTACAGAACTGAGTACTTAGTTGAGAACGAAAGCAACATTAATGACTTCCATATGTTATTGCATAAACCTCATTCATATGTTTTTCATTTAAAATATTATAAAACAGAAAACAAAAATATTCTGTGTAACTTTTGGTGAGAAACAGAAATGTTCTGAAGACCATGGAGGAGAACAATTGGATTTTAGTTAGATGTGCAGTAATTTTTTGAACCCTGGAAATAATTTCTACAAAATAGTCTCTTGTTCTTTTTGTTCAGTCTATCTGTCTTACATACTGTTTCCATTCTCTTGTCTTCGCCGTTATTATTTCCAAAAACCCTGTGGGGATATTATGTCAGCACTTCTTGACCTCATGTGGTGAAGTTGTCAATGTTGAATTAAGCATTTTTTTAATATAACCATATCAATCCCATACACAGATCTTCCCTATTACACTCTTGATCGTTTAGTAATGTGAAAATACAGAGAAAAATGCTCTAACTGAACTGCACTGAGAATATGTGAGCTTACAAACAAAATTAAATTTGTTAAATAAATTATGCCTCAACATATGAACACTGTTCAGCTCCTACTTTTATGCAGAAATCCTTAAGCGGAGACAAAATCCCCTGTCCAAAGATAAGGAATTGTAAACACAGCAAGACTAAAATTCAAAAGAGATATAAAATCTGTTATCACTGAATCGGTAAATAATATTAGCAGCATCCCATGGTACTGAAAATAGTAAAATTTTGTTTCCTTTTTTTAAAAAATAAAACCCATACCAGATTATAATATAAACTACTTCTGTAAGGACAGTTGTTGAAAGTGGACTCCTACTTTGATCTTGGTACCCAGAATTAGAAACTATGTGCAATCTCTAGCTCAAATTTCTCTTCATGTCCATTTTTTGGGTTCCTCTTCCAGATAGCTGTAGACAGACAGCATGAAAACAGCTGCAATTTTTGCATTTTCTGTATTCAAAATTTAGCTTGTAATTTACCTGGACATGAACCATTTAAAATAGTGTAAGCCTTAGATCATAATGCAAGCAGTTCATCTTTTTCTTCACATTTATTTAATGAGCTGTACTGTGTTATTCTGTTACTGATGAAGTGAGGAAGAAAGCATGAATATGGTAGTCTTCTAATGAGCTGTGTTCATACCAGAATAGCAGATTTCAAGCAAACATGCTGTGGCTGGAGATTTAGGTCAGTAGGTCAGGAATTACTCTTTCAAAGAAAAAAAACTGACACTGACTGACAAGGCTGTAAAATTTAGTAGCACATGTTGAAGCACACAAATACATATATCATAAAAAATATTTATTTTATATATAAAACGTGCAAATAGTGCAAGCTGAAATGAAATGAAAGGATCAAGGAACTGGAAACATCTCCAGTCCTCTTCCTTTTTATTGCTGCATTTTTAAGAACATTGAGGAAGACAAGTCAGTAGGATGAAAAGAATCATCATTCCACAATTGTATATTTATATTAAAGGCATATATAAAACATATAAATATATAATATATAAATAAATATTCATATAATTGACAAATAGAAAAAGACCGTCAAAATATGTAATCCAGTAAGAATAATTGCTCACTGAAATGTTATTGTCTTAATGCTGACAGTAAGTGAGCTTAACATTCAAAATAAGAGGTGAGGGGGTTGTCTTGGACATCTCTTTTCATTGCCCTGCACTCTTGGCTCATCTAAAGTTCCCAGAAAACCAGACCAGTAGCTTGTGCCCCATCCAGAAGTGAGAAGTCCTTACAGACTCTAGAGGTACAGTCTATTAGCTGACTTTCTACAAGTTTTTGCTTTCAAGGTAGGCATCCATATTCAATGTAAACCTCTGAGTTTTTTATAGGAATTTGGTACTGTTTGCTCTGCCTGAAAGTAGCAGGAGTTGCTTTCTATATAACTAGTTGAAAAAATGCGTGTGCTCATCCTCATCCTGCCTACAATGATGTAATTAGAAAATTAAAGGGAAACATTTTATACAATTTATTTCCTGGGATACACTTCAGGTCTATTTTAAGTGTATATTGTGTTACTGTATCATTAGTGCAAATTACTGTGAGGCTTTTCTAGCATTAAATAAAATGATAGCAAAGATCAACTATACAGTAGATAACTTGGATCAATGCTTTAAAAAAATTTATTCTCTAGCCACTATCTCCCAAACCCTGAGCATTTGTTTTTCTTTTGGTGGCAGAACATTAATCACATTGTGTCAAAGACTAAAGAAATACCACTTTGACAAGAAGGATTTAGTTAAAGAGTGTGCATTGTTAACAGAGGTGGTCATAATAGTGTAGGGAGTGTAACATATACACTTGGTCTGGCTTCCAGCTGTTTGGCTTCACAGTTATTATGTGCCCTCTGAAATAAAAAAAAATTCAATAATAAAGAAAAACATTTTGGAGTCCATGAGTTACTCTTTTTGAAGATGGAAGAATAGTTTTCTTTCACTATTAATTTTGAGGTACTACATAACTTCTCTCAGGTAAATCCTAAAAAACTAGAATGACAAAATTTTGAGGGTAAACCTAGTAGTTATTTCAAGAAAATCCACTATTTTTTCCTAGATACAAACATGCTATTTAAAAATTTTTATCTTTCCAGAAGTAAACACAATTTCAAATAAGTAGTACAGTTAATAATATTTCAGAGTTCTCTAGTCTCAATTCTCATCAGAAAGATGTCTGTATTTTTCCAATTTCTGTCCTTCAGATTTGTTGTAGGGTTGTTTTGGTTTTTTTGGTTGTTGTTCTTGTTGTGTGTTTGTTAGTTTATTTGTTTGTGTTTTGTTTTGTTTGCTTTTTTAAATGTCAGTTGTTCTTAAAAATGCATTTGATGGAAGTTCTCCAAGGTGGCTTTATAATTTTTGCAATACTTTTGAGGGATCACATTTTTAATAGGAAAGTATTCCTACTTCTTGGCGTGTTTCTTGTACTTGTGTGTAAACGCTTTACAACATAACCTAAGTTCATGTTTATATCTAGGAAGATCTGTAAAGGTGCAGAAAAAGAACAGAAACTGAAGATAGAGGTAAATACAACATTACATTTGGTTCTAATACTTGGGTGGAAGGAAACCCTGTTATCACATCCCACTGGATATAATGTTTTTGTTAATGAGACACTAGAGTGTTTATATATAACTTTAAAAGTTAAAGTGTATATACTTTAAAAGTTTAAAGTACATATATGTATAGTTTAAAATCAAGTATAAGGACATTCTGAACTCAGTAATTCCTGTAAGACCCAGCATTTAATGAGCAACACTGAGATTTGAACGTGAAATGTACAAATCATGCAATGTGTTGAAAGAATTGACTGTACAGGACCTGATAAGCTTCGGCAGATGGGAATCCTATTTCTTATCCTATTTAATTGCTTTTAAAGGCTGCTATTTTTGCCATAAACTCAAGTACAATGCACAAACAAGGACTTCTCTTGCTAACATCCTGATAATTGCCAAGAAATTTAAGAATTATAAGATAACAGAAAATAAGAGACATTATTTAAGAGTTTAAGTATCTCTTCAGCTTGAGATATGAATGCAGAAAGATATAACCAAAACTAAGCAATGAAAACAATTGAAGTCTTTCCCCTTGGTGTTTCATTTCAGCAAATGGCCTGTATGTTGGAACAAGATACAAACACAGTAATTATGCCTGTATAAAATACAGGGCTCAGTGTGTGTGTGTGTGTGTGTGTGTGTGTATGCCCTTTTATTCAGTGAAATGAACTTATTATTACATCATGACTTTTTCCATCTTTCCATCCAGATTTCACATAGACAAAAAAATTACTGTCATTTCAGAAAAAAAATTCATTTTGGGAGAATGGCCACTTCGGAGTTTGGGTTTAACCAGTGAGCCAGAGCATAGAC